CATGCTGGCTGGGGAATTCTGAGAGTTGAAGTCCACACATCTTAAAGTTGATAACGTTGACAAACCCTACTATAGAGTGTTTTCAGAAAATGACAAGTGTAGAAGCTATTGAAAATTCATTGAAAAGAACCGAGTGCAGTTGCTCAGGGGCGAGCGAAAAGCCTTCCAAATTTGTTTAGAGCTACTCTATGTTATCATGACAACGTGGAATTGAATTGCTGCCTTCATTCAAACTGGCAGGCCCCCATTTCAGATCCTGTGGTCCTGAGGGTGACTAAGTCAAAGGCCATTTCCACAGCATTAACTTACGGCATCACTCAGTCATCTCTTCGGCAATCTATCACTAGGAGACGGGTTCTAAGTCTCCCCAGCGATCGCTGGATGAGGCTGTAAATCACCAGTGTGGAAACAATGACAGTGCTGGAGGGACTGTACTGTCAAAACCATAAATGGCCAAATTCTAGGTCTGCTGAGGTTCCTGCCAGATGAACCTTCTCCAGTCTGGTGCCCTGGAGATGGGTTTTGAATCCCAGGTCCTGTTTGAATGGGGACAGGGGTATCTGCGGGGTGGTGTTGTGCCAAAAAATGGCACGAAATGAAAGCTTCACCCGTTTTTATACCACCTCCCTCCCCAGGGACGCCGCTGAACAGATTTAGAAAAAAAACAAAAACACATCTCAATGCGTGGCCCACCTTGTCAGGCTGGGAAGCTGTTTAACACTTGGATGAGAGAGTAGCAGGAACTCCCAGCGTTGCAGGCTGGGCTGGAAAGTTGAGAAAAGGTTTCAGAAAAAGGAAAGTATCATCTTGCCAAGTAAACCATATGGACACGTCCAGAGCATCTGTAGGAGTCGCGCTTCACTCCAAGAAGTCTGCTTTTTAAAAGCAAACTGTGGTTTTAGGCACGGTGTCAACCAGGTCACAAGATTACTTCAGACAATTGGTTATTCTCTCAGTTCTAGGGCAACCAAATACTAAAGAGATGGCTTTAATAGCTGTGCAAAGCAGTGGATTTTGCCAAGGCTTTTTGGACCAGCCTTCCCCATGTGAAACCGCCCCCCCTTTGGACCCAGCCATTCAAAATGCAGGAACCTGGTCTTCACTCGCACCCGTATTCCTGCCTGTTCAAGTCCACCATGGAGATGATGAGAGACCTCCAAAGGTCTCCTTTTGGACTTTTCTCCTTTTCCCACAGGAAAATTAAAATGAAGTCATGGCTCTCCTTTATTGCTTACACAATTTACCTAACTCATACCACACTAGCTGAAATATTCCTTTTCACAAAGCTACTGAAGGTTTCAGTGACCTGATTACTTTTATTTATTTAAACAAACCACTAGGAAAAAAAAAACAGTCCTGCCCTCAGGCTTAAAGGAGAACAAAATCCCTCAAGTATCAATTCTTAAAGTAAAAGTTTCTTTGGTGTTTCTCCAACCTTACATCAGCCTTGAAGTCTGTAAATGTAAGAGTGAAGATACTAACAGTAAGATACTAATATAACAGTACAGATAATACTGGTAAAGTGCTTTAAATACTGGAAAAAAAACAACGATGAAGATAGCAAGTATGGTCTTTCCCATGTCAGTGGCTTCACATCTCCCCTCCCCTTCTTAAATTTAAAATCTACATTCAGTTTTTTCCTGCAGAAACCAATTCTCTATATCTTTGCTCACAAGTAAGTACTGTAAGTTTCCAAGGGCTGCAGTTCTGGGCATTATCCTCATTTATTTTCTTTAATTATATTTAATCCCCACCCACCCCCCAAAACCCTCCAACAGGGCTACCAAAATCCTAATTCCAAACAAGAAGATGGCAAAACTTAACCCCCAACAAAAGAAATTCTCTCCAGCCACAGGAGGAGGAGGAAAAAAATCACTCCAGCCAGCAAGTCAAATCTACCTTTCACAGCCTAGAGAGATTCCAATTTTAAGGCACCTGTTTTGCACCTTAAAGCCACCCTAACCCGCCCAAGGGCCAACAGTTTTGGCTTTGCCCATACTGGGGGGTCGCCCAAAGAACCCCCTTTGGAGCTGCTTCTCCTGACCGCGAAGTCAAAAAAGAAACCGAGCTCTGAAACTGCTTTTTCAAGGATCTGCACAGATTGGAGATCAAACTCCAAGGAAAGGGAGCAGCTCTAAACAACGCCTTATTTGCCGAATGAACTTACGCTGCGCAAGATGGAAAGGAACCAGGACGTTTGGGGCAACTGAGTAAACCCAGGCTCAGCCTAGGACCTCTCTGGGGGATCCGCTTTAAAAGGAAAAAAAAAAAAAAGCGGAAAAGTAGGTTATTTGTTTACTTTTACGAAGAAACCCAAATAAAAGCCTGCGCCAAGATTTCCTCCAATATAAGGCTGCCGTTGTTGGGAGCTGTAGTCCAGCGCGCTCGGAGGGTCCCAAATCGGGGCCGAACAGAGGTGGCGATGGGACCTGGAGCCCGACGCACCTGGAGGGCCCCGATGGAGAAGGCCGGCCCGGCAGCGGAGAGTCCGCGCTCCGCAGCACCTGTCCCGAAAGGCAGGG